ATACGACCCGCATTATCTCTATAAGCCCCTCGACCTTTAATTACAAAAACTTAAAAGCATCAATCCCATTGATACAGAAACCTTCCTTCTAAATTTAAGAAATTTTCGACAACAAGCACAATAATTATTTAACTTTAAAAAGGTTGAAGAAAATCATCGTCCCCCTTCACACACGCTGACATTTATGCATACAAAAAATCCTAGAATTTTTTAATTTCTCGTCGTTTTAAGTTGTCTTAAGTTTAAAAATGTAAAAATGTTCGTAACAATTATTTTCTGACAGACTTCCCTTCTGTTATATATAAGAGCCGAGAAAGTAAAACTTAGTTAAAGTGTTAAATAATCAAGGATATAAAAATATTCAATTAGAATCTTACAATCATTTTACATGATTGTAAGATTCTCGTAGTTGTAACATATTATATTTCATAAGATTCTATTCTCATAGTTCTAACATATTACAATAAATTTATGTTAATTAAAGTTCAATATTCCAATGTTTTCCGATTTTAGACGTTCTGACCATCCATTAGCACGACAATATAAAATACGTCGACAAATATAATTACAAAATTCTATTTGACAAATAGAATTACAAAATTCTATTTGTCGACGTTGATAACTTCGTCTGAAAATTTACACATATGTACGATGCACTGTACAGTCAGTGTGTTACATATCCGTGTCACTCCCTCACACTTCGTTTCAAATAGAATACATAAATGTATATGCAATAAAAAGCTGAATTTTGAAAGTACAGGTGAGTTTTATTTATAGATACATAAAATTAGTACTTTAGAAACTTAGAACCTGTGAGAAGTAAAAATACATCCTAGTCTGAGCACCCATTAATGGAGAATCCACTATTTTCAGAATATCATAAACATATATTCATAAAAACAATAAAATAAATACAAACAGACTTCTTCGACATTTATTTTAAAAATGTTCGAATTTATTCATATAATTGAACTGTAATCATTAAAAAATTTAAAGACCTATCAATTCTCACTGTCGTCTGTCTGTGTGTCAGTTCTTTCTTAATCTCGAGAACGGACGAAGATAAAAGACACGACTAGGTAATATGGAGAGAGTAGGAACAGGAAACCCTGATTAACTGTGTACAAACGTTTGAAGAAGATCGAAACTCATATTATTTCATTTAAAATCTTTTCTCCTAAAAACAGTTAACTAAAGACCGGCACAACTGCATTGTTATATGAAAAGTATAATGCACAGAAACAAGCCACTACTAATTTGAGATAAAAAGCGTATATTTTAAATTACATACATTAAAAATATGATTAATCGCAGCCCGAGATTGTGACGATGTCATAATAAATAATTGCTCGTTTCATTGAAATCTAAATCATATAAATTGGACTTTTTTCTGTTGTAAGATTCTGATCAACTGAATTAACAATTTTAAATCTCTCAACTAAATTAAATGTACATAATTGATAATACTAAATTCTATTTTATTCCTTATCCATTATACACGACGTATTCGCAACGATTTTCAAATGTTATCATTTCCATTTATATGAATATGAATTTATGTATTACGAATTATTCTTATCACTACAAAAACTTTCATAGTATTAAAAGCATTAAGCCTCTTACCTTTTTCGATTTTATAATCAGAATGAGTCCAAATAGTGGATCCGTTTGTGTTTTTAGTAGAAATTGGTTCTCTTTTAATATTTAACTGAAATAATAAAATATTACGTAATATTATTAGATAGATTCATCTTTATAGAAAAACACATAAATAATTATTTAAAGTAGAGCATAAAAATACGTTTACTAAATATATATTTTTTTTAAATGGCCTACTTTCTACTTTTCTTTTTATAGCAGTTCCTATCATCTATTTAACACCTTTCAGAGAAAAATTTTGAATTCCAAATGTGAATTGAGGTTTTCAGCAGATATACGTATACAATTTATCGGTACCTCTTGACCAATTAAATGAATCTGATAATATATGGATATATAAATTATAGTTTATTAAGAATTGAGGTGCAATTTCAAAAGACTTATAAATACCCACTTTCCTTAGTCTGTACGACTGTTTGACAGTTTTTTCTTAATGTCGACAACAGAGTTAGATAGCTAAAAGCCGAAACCACATGTGCTTAGAGGCACTATGTCGGTAATTCTAGTAGTATACAAAAACTTCCGATGCAAATCGGAAGTAAAATTATTTCAATTCAGAAAGTTTCCTCTGAAAGAAGTTAGATACGTAAACGTCACGACTCTTATAAATAGGATAAGTATAACGTACAAAAGAAGCCACTAGTAATTTCAGGTGAAGGGCATATATTTTAAATTAAATAAAAGAATAACATAATGAAAAATTCCAGCCCGGCATTGTGAGGATGTCACAATAAATATCTTCTTGTTGATTGTCTTTTTTCTTTTTTTTTTGAATTTCTCTTACTTTGTGTCTTGTAATGCATGTAACAACCGAAAGTATAAAAATCATGTCACATTTGACCGTCAGCTTTCGGAATCCTCCAAGTTTTAAGACTTCCTTAACCCGAAAAAATGTTTAAAAATATAAAGATTTTACTTATTATTACATATTAAAATTTTTAAAAATACAATTTATTTTTAATCTGAAAATTAAGCTTTTTGCCATTTAATAACAACTAATAATACGAAATGGTTTTTGAATAAAATTTCCTAACAGATGGTGCCACACACAATTTTAAAGTTTTTTGCCGGAAATGTTACGCAACTTGTTGCTGGATTTTTTTGATGAGAGATAACTTTGTTTCTTATTTTGTTATAATCAATCTCTCGATCATCGTGAATCTCCAAAGGACTTGATCGAACATAGAGATCTCGAGTCGAGTTCTACTACTGCTTAAGCCTGACGGGACTTAAAAATCCCGAATACATTTTATCCTCATACAGCTTAAATATCATTGATTTTACAAATACAATACACTAAACTCCAACTACACATATATGAAATATAAATTTATAGATAAAAAGTAGATACATTCAAACTATTATTATGTAGAATTAATATCTCAGAATAGATTGAAGATTAAGAAACGAAATTTGGTAGGATAACTTCTGTATAGAGAGCATTGATGCTAAATTTTGGCAAAGAAACGTCGAGGAATGAAGAGATATAGGATAATCACATGTAATATCTCTTAATCAAGAATTTTTTTCTTGTTAGCGTCTACACTTGTTTATAAAACTTACCCGTACCTTCAAAATTAAGCATTATGTCATTTTATAATAATAAAAGTATAAAGTTTTTATAAAATGAGATCTTAAAATTTCGTTACATCTGCAATGTTTATTTCTGATGATTAATAATATAAAAGTTATTTTTTACATACAATTTCTTTAGAATTGGAAAAGTTACGCAACCTCGTTGTTAGATTTTTTTATATAATACATATTTTTATATTTAATACAGAAAACACAAATTTAAAGCATAATTTTATATTATTGTTATTGAGCTACGTTTCCAATTACTCACAAATCTAAGTAAATATTAAAATTTCATTAAAAATGTGTAAAATATTTTGAAATTTGTATTACTAATACCTTTTCATCTGGGAGATGAACAACTTCTTTACAATCTTCCCTCTTTACTTCAAATTTCAATTTTTTCAAAACAACTTTACATTCTGATTTTATACCATATTTTATATCATAATTCTCTTTTACTTCTTCTTTCTTGATATCTGTAGCAAGTTTTCGTGTTAAAAGTTGAAAGAAAAAACTTGAATTATAAAATAGAACTGAGTATATTTTCATTAATTAATTAACATAAAACTATTTAATTACATGTTTTATTACATCATTCATTACTGATTAGAAGCTGAAATCTAGCTGAGTCACAGTATTAATGCGATGTGTAATACACATTATTATAAATATGTTTAGAAACGTCGCCGATGTATTCTTTGGTCAGATTGTTGACATTGGTCTACTGAAAATGAACTTTTATGATATAAATTCCTACGAATTTGATAGTTCTTCTTCATTAATTATTAAATAGTTTGGCAATATCTTCTCAGATTTGACAACAATCTCTACATTGTTTATATTAAATATCGTATTAGTCGACGAGCGAGGCAATTATTATCATGTTGTTTTGGTTATTTTGCAGGTGTCCGCAGACAAGTGCTACGTGCACCTAAAGAAAGGGTGAGAAACGCCTCTTATTAGTTTCTTTTAAACGTCCGTTCTTGCCTTGTCGATTTTATCGTTGATCGAATTTATCGATATAGTCTGTGACATTTAACCCGAAAAGAGAGTTTCGATCGTTGATTGTAGACTATCCCTTTTTTCTGTACAATTACTATGATTACGAGGAAAACGATACTAATTTAAAGAATACAAAATAGGGGGCAGAGTATCACACACCTTTCAATGTGAATTTTCGAATGTCCTTTTAGCGTGGTTTGTCTTGAATGACTTCCTACAAATATGGCATAAATAGATATTTTCATGTTTAATAATACAATATTTGGCTAAGAAACTTCTATTAGCGTAACCTTTTTTACATATGACACAAACATACTTTTTTCTATCGCTATGAATTACTTTATACTTTCTTAAATAGTGTTTTGTTTTAAAATATTTGTTACACATATGACAATAATATTTGCATTTATTACTGAATATACGAATATGCTGTTTGAAATTAGAACTTGGTTTAAAACTTCTGTTACATACCTGAGAAACATAGTAACGTTCATCACTGAGTTTCGCGATAATTTTTTTAAATTTTCTTTCCATTTACAACACTTATTGCAAATATCGCATTTGAAAGAATGGTCTTAACTATGCGTTCGTTCATGTTGCAAAAACAGAGAGTTCAATTTAAATTCTTTTCCACATATATCGCAGGCATGAGCTCTGTGTATTCTCTTGTGTCTTTCTAAACTTCCCTTACCATATCGAACAAGCATACCACATATGTCGTTATTCCTCTGGAAATTAGATTTTTTACCATTATTTGGAGATGACTTCACTTGATTTCCACATGGCTGCAAACGTAAATTTCTAAGAATGATTTCGTTTTGATTTTCAGGTTTGTGTTCTATCATGTGTTTTCTCAATAGAAATTGCCACAAAAAGTTCTTATTGCAGGTTGAGCAGCGAAATGGTTTTTTCTTCTAATATGACAGATGTGTTTCTAATATTCTCTTACTTGTGAAAGTCTCTTTACATAAATCACACGTAAATTCTTGTTTAGAATGAGATGCAAACATAACCTTGAAGTTTCCTTTTAATTTCCTTTTCCATTTCCTTTTAATTTTATTATAAACTTTATTACATTTTCTACTGGAAGAAACGTATTTCTTTGTTTTGATATTATATACATAACGCTCTCGCTTTTACTTCGTTTCAATACATTTTCTTTATTATTCTAGCGAATCCATAAAGCAAGATAATATGAATCATTAAATAACAACTCATGAGTTGTTATTTAGTAATTCTGATCATTCCAACATAATTTTATTAAACTCAAATTTATATTAATACGATGTACGTAGTTACTTATAAACCAAATTCTCAAATACCAAATATAATCCCAGATCAATGTATGACGGTTGAAACTTGAATGCAGTTCTTCAGCTGCCCTCTTAATAATGCTAATATAAAAAGTTTTAATTAAGTAAACATGTTACTTACTTATAATGTTCAATTCGTTGTTGTTGAAATTTTCGTTTGGAGTGAAGTATTCTTTGTTGACAGGCTAAACAATATGCAAAAAATACATGACAACCACTACTAATTATTTATAATATATAAACCAGTAATGAGTTGCTCAACTTTCCCGGCAACGTTTTAAAATTTTGGAGGCTTTGTCTTTAATAAAACGTTTTTTAAATAAAATATAATACTTGCAACTATTATAAAAAGGCAAAGAACTGAATTTTAAAAGTAGAGATGCGTTTTATATAAAATAAGTAAAATGCGAATAACGAGTAAAATCATCATTAAGTCCGACCCTACACACGACCTCCATTATCTCCCAGTGATTTTTAATTAAGCAGTAAAACTTAATAGCCTCGATTCCCCTTTTTTATTCCTTTTCATTTTTCAACGTTTCAAAATGTTCTAAGTTGTTCTAAGTTTAGAAATGTAAATGTCTTGGGAAGCCATTTTCTGATCGATCGTCATACTTTCCCTCTGTTATATATAACAGTCGGAAAAGTAATATAAAATTCATTACACACACAAATTACAAATCCGTATTCTGTGATTTTATATATAAACTACATTTAGAAAATAGCATTAAAATTAATTATTCCGTTTTGAAAATTTTGTAGAAATTATTTAGTCTTTTGGAGAAATTAACAAAATAACAAACGAGACTCTTCACTTTCCATCTTGCCCATTGAAACAGCTATTACTAATGAAGTAGTCTGATTTTGCTACAGATCTATGTTATTTATAAAGTAATTTAGCGTACTGAAATCGCAGAGAAAAGTTGTGACTTATATAAATCCGAAAGCAGCTTGTGAAATTATTTTAAGAAATTTACAAACGTGTTATGTTGTTCATGACAAAAAATGCCGTTAAAAACAAACTTACTTCTACAGTATTATGATTAGCTGTAATAAACACAAATACATAAATATTCTATAGTCATTTTACATCACTTGCAAAAAAATTGAATAATTAAATAATTTCTGGATTAAATTTGTCTGTTTCTTTACAGTGTTATTCACAAATGCTTGAATAATCATTATTTTTAATAAAATACGTCATAAATTTAACCCAAAACAGAGAAAAAGCAAACGTTTAAGTCTAATTTCTACTCGCCACTTTCCAAACGCAATTTTCAAACTTCTAGGATTACAAGATAGCGGCGCTCGGCGTTAACGTTTCAGCAATGAAAACTTTGGCCGCAACGTCTCTATTAGTTTGTTGTAGTCAACTGCTACTTTACAATAAATTATGATTAGAAATTGCAGTGTTTATTACTTTTATTAGATAAACACAGATTACAATAATGTCTTCATAGTACAGTGGGTGATCGGTTAATGAACAGTTCGGACTGCGAACGAATCGGATAACGAACACTCGCGAAACTTTTATGTTCGGATAACGAACAATTCAGAGAGATAAAGAATATATAGAAAAAGAAGCGATATAAAATGCTTAATACCGATTGGTCTTCCCTTATCTCCACTTGACAATTCAAAACCTTTCGGACCGCTGAAGACATCGACATCGACGCTGAACCCGGTACCGATCGGATAGAATTTCTCCGAATTTTGACTCTCCTTTGTAATTCCAGCATTCCGTTTAACTTTCTGACAAAAAAAAATTTTATAGTCTTTGCGAGACTGTTTGGTGTTATAAGTTTTGAGTCGGTTTTTATTTACGAAAGGCGAGAGTTTAACTGTCCCCTCAAATATTCCTTAACGTTTTAATACCAAATTTCGAATTTCATCTGGACCTTGAATTTAAATAATTTTATGTGCTCTAGTTGATTTCTGTTCTCTGAATTTTAGTAAGTACTTTTCTGAATTTTATATTTAAAAGAGAAATTGATAATATTACGGAGCCTAAAATGAGTGGTGGAGTGTCAAGAACTATGCTCATTGTAGAAACCAAGCGAAAGATAATAGTCAAGGTAGAGAGTGGACACGAGATGTCTGATGCTGCTAGATAGTATGGCTTGAACAGGTCTACAGTAGGCACAATGTTAGCTATGAAAGATATATCAAAAAGTCTCAAGCAGCTAAAGGAGTAATGAAAAATCACATCTGAGAAATAAAGAGGATTGAATAGCTCATAATGAAACCTGAAACTAATGTGACGACAGAACTCCAAGAACTCTTAAATGAAGAACAGCAAGAAACTCAGCGAGAAGTGAATTCTTTTGAAAAACAGGAAGACGAAAGAGGACCAATGCCGAAATCTGCTATTAAAAATCTTTTCAAGGAATGGGAGGATGTCAGAAAAATGATCATCCAAATGGCATCCAAACCAGAATGAGGTTAATAGACTAGAGGATCTCTACAATTGCAATGCTATTAATTACTTCCAAAAAATCCTGAAGAGAAAAAAAAAGCAATCGACATTAGACCGATTCTTTAACCCTCACAAATGGAAAAAACATGACTAATAAAAATGCAAGACAGTGTATGTATGTATTTTTATTATTACATATAAAGGTAGTATCAAAATACATATTTTTTATATTTTGGGGTTTCCAGAACGAATTAATCAAATTTCCATAAAACCCATGGTAAATCGATAATCGGTTAACAAACAATTCGGATAGCGAACAGTCTTAAAACGGATTATGTTCGTTACACGATCATCCACTGTATTAGAAAAATAAATAAATCTAGTATTTCGTACTATCGTCGTTTGAATGGATCTCAAAGTAAAATTTGTCATGGTTTTCGTAAATTTTGCCTGTATGTCTAGCCACTTTCCTCAACATGTGGCCACATCCATTGTGGACCTCACCAACCCATCTATGGGTCTGAAATAAGAACTCCTTGTTTATTCTCTAATTTATCGTGCACAAAAAGGCAGAAATACACAAACTACCAACTGAGAAAAGTTTGAAACACTGTAACTTACATATATAAATTTAATGTTGAAATTCGTTTTTTAGTTTTAGGGATGTTACGAATGCATAACAAGATGAAGTATTCAAATCTAATCGATTTTCACCCTCTAAATTTTTGCAAATTTTCAGATTTTG